CCCTTTTTTTGTTACAAAACTTCTACCTTTACAGTTGTGAGTAGCAATTAGTCATGATTCAATTACTCGCTACTGAATCAAAAGAATCTTATCCCCATGTCGTTTCGCCAAACCTATCTAGACAAGATGAAAACTATTCAGTGGGGATTCTACCTTCTCCCTTACACTCTAAAACTAAACTCCCTCTTGAAAACTTGTAAGCCAGTCACTTCATGCCTTTATAGCCCCTCCCATTTTAGGTAGCCAATGTCTAAGTTGACCATCTCTATCAGCCCTGTATACAGAGGGGATAGGATTGATCTTGGATGTGAAGACTCCTTCCCTCTCAGTTGGTATTTTGAGCCACTTACTACATCCATAAGTGTAGGTCAAGTTCATCAAACTGTAGCAATTTACACTTGTTTCTTTTATCAAAAAAAAAAAAATTTTTTTTTTGTTTTGTTTTTTTCCTTTTATCTTCCTCTGGTTGAGTTCTGATCATCAAGCCATAGAAGCCAAGTCGAATGGGTACTATCTGCAAGTATGGGCATTCTTGTGCGTCTCCCGTCACTTCACATCAGCTGGGTACTTCACTCTCAACTCCAGCCCTCTGTGGCTACATCCTTGTCCATGGACTCAGGAGTCCACAGGTCTCACCACACTTCCAACCAACCAACCCTTCCTCTTTACTCTCTCATCTCCAGGTTGATGAGAGTCTATAGAATGTAGTCGAACTCGGCCCATATTTTGTTGTTGCCCTTCCCCGTCTTCTACTGACAAGGAGACCAACGTGGTTGCCAGCAAGCTTACATGCCTGCTCATGTTTTCCCTTTGAGTTTCAGTCATGGAGGGGAATTGGTCTGGAAGAGACTTGATTGCTTGCTTCAATGGCTCCCTAGAGAACAACTTGCTTGTTCTTGTAGTAGCCAATCAAACTACCACTTTTGTTTTTGCTTTTTCCTGCTGGTAGATGGTTTCTTTTATTAAAAAAAAAAAAATTGCTTAACTTTTTACAATTTTGATCTCATACAATATTTTTGTGATTGACCAAAACCCAACTAGATGAAGAGAAAGATGTGATACTGTGAGCAAGTATAAATTGATGATTTGAACTTTTGTTTATGGATGCAGCTGTTCAAAATTCCAACTAGAATGGAAGATTCTTCAGAACAAGAAGCATGCTTGTGTCCTCAGAATACTGGGATGGGCAATTTAAAAACTGATTATCCAAAGTTGGGGGCTATAAATACATGAAGTGGCTGGTTTACAAGCTTTCATGGATGTACTTAGTCTCAAAATGAGGGGGATAAGGGAGAATTCCCACTGATTAGTTTTCCTCTTTTTCCAGATGGGTCTCTGGTGAAAGGAGGTGGGGATGATGTTGACAGAATTTCATGAATCAACTGTTGAGTAATTTTTAGAAGTATTCATTGTTATTTTCAAAACTGTACACTCTAAGGCTGGAATTGGTTAGTTTCAACTTCTAGCTGTGTTTAAAAGGAGCCATCTCAGAAGCAGGAACAGATGATTCCTGGACCATCAAGAAGGAAGACCATGAGTGGAGCATGAGATCCCTACCTAGTAAAGTGGTGATTGCAGAGGCAATAGCATAGACAGAAGAATGGAAAGACAGAGCAGCTGTGGGCTCTAGAACCAGGGACTGAGTAATGCTGTGTGTCTATGGGCAGGAGGCTGGGTTGCATAATATGCTCTTTGGACATTTAAATTAATACACATTTCTTGTTTTCTTTTGTATGTGTGCACCAAATATTTTTGCTTTATTTGTTCATTTGTGAAATATAAAATGTAAATGGGGCCAGCGTGGTTTCGGGTCTATGCATTTTAGTTGCATC